AAACTTCTTGTTTGGATCTTAGCTAATATAATAGACTGACTAATGAATAGCAAATTGTCTTGACATTTTTTATAGTAATTTAGCTGTTAGTTTGGTATTTAAATAATCTTTGCAAAATTGAATTTCAAAAAAAACCACTCTTTTTGAGTGTCACTTCAGTATATCCTCAAATGAGAGTACTTCTGTTTTTTTCCTCCTTTTATAAGTTTTACTCATTTTAATGCTACTATTTTCAATTCATTTTAATATTTTAAGGCTCTTCAATTTTTTTATGTAAGGCATAGGCATACATGTACATACAGACACATATATACATAGACATTAGGATCATTAACATCTACATGTTTTGAGGCCATTTTTATATCTTTGTGGGTGGTGAGGGCTTCCAATAGGCAATATTCACCTGACTACATCTTACTCTTCTTTTAAGATTATGGTTAAGCCTTACTTCTCACAAGTTTCTTGATCCTTTCAGCCTCTAGGCTTGTTAAGAATGTCTTTGCTTGCTCCTCAAATATCCCAAAACTTGTCTGTATAGTGACATAAAAATTTATCTGTAGGGCTATCTCTGTCCCTACCATGTTACTGTTTCTGTGCTCATCTTTGCCACTTCTGTGCAGCTCCCTTCAAGGCAGATTTCATCACCATTTCTGCGCTGACAACTCTCTGCCTGGCGCATAGAAGGCTCAATGGAGAGGTGACCCCACCTTGGGATTTGCATACAAATATCCTGTCCTACTTTTGAATAATTTAGATGAAAGTGGAGAAAAACCTTTGCTCTTCCTCTGTAATTACTCTTTTGTAATTATATTAAATAACAGAGTTATCAACCAGCTAAATCCCAATTCCAGTTGCCAATATGAATAGAGAAATAAGTGGAGATGTGAATGCACTTTTTGGGAAAAAAACAAGACAGAGAAGTACAGTTGGGGATGTCATCTACGTGAGGGTGAAAATGAGTGTGAGTGAAGGTGGGGATGAAGGGGCAAAAAGTCTATGTGAAATGCGGGTTGAGCCATGCGAAAATCAGTAAATCCCAAAGTAAACAAGTGACATACTAAACCCTTAAAATCAAAACCAAACCCAAGTCTTCACTGTATCATCCAAGGCACTGCATTAGGCATTGTGGGGGAACTATTTCCAACACACAACCACGGTTCTCAGGAAGCTGGTCTACTGGGGAAGATGGTGTTGCCAAATGCTCCACCTGTAACATAACAAGCTCTCCCTGCCAAAGCTGAGAGAATACAGAGGAGGAGTGGTCAGAGCAAGTTTCACTGAGTGGGAAGTGTTGAATTGGCCCTCAAAGAAGGTGAAACACGGAAAAGTAGAAAGTAGATGAAAAGCATGTTGAGGTGCATAATAAAGCATTGAGCAAAAGCAAAGTCAGAAGCAACTCATGGATTCAACTGTGTGCAAGAAAAGAAAAAAGAAATAGGAGAAAGCAAAGGCTGGTTTCATATCAGTTTATTTATAAGTGAAGCAACTAAAATGACTTTAAATGTCCTGGACTATACTGAGTTGGACAATAAGATGTAATGCTAAGGGGGAGAAAGAGGGAGTGGTTAAAGGAGAGCTAGAAGGCGAAGGATGCTGAGGTGCAGGTTATTTCCCTTGGGAGGTTGAGCATGTTTTTGTAACACTCACTTCTTCCATTTCAAAGGAGTCTGGTCCTTTACCCGCAAGACGAGACAAGTTCCTGAGCTTGTTAGTCTGAATTCTGTCCTTGCCGGACCCCTCAGACACACAGGAAGAAGGATCTTGCTTGGCCAGCATGGACGGGTAAGGCCTTTGCTTGCCCAGAAGGGCTTGGGGAGGATGACAAAGTATCGGATCATCACAGGCTTGGAGAGACTGATGCTCTGCCAAAGGAGAGAGGTTGTGGTTGATTGGGGCCACTGGTGACTCTGCTCCACGCTCCCCTGGTTTTGCAGGGGGGATGAAAAATTCATGCTTCGTCTTGAAGGACTCGGTCACTTCTGGGTTACAGTCTCTCCCAATGTTCTGTCTTGAAGCTCTCCTTAAAAGTTTACCCATTCTTCTCCGATGCTCTTTAGACCCACTCACTGAGGTTCTCTGCACAGTCTCTCCTCCAGCTTTCTCATCGGCTTTGTTTTGTAGAATGTTGACATCATTCAACAAAGATGAGAAGGTGTTGGTCACATGGTCCAGGATTTCTAGCTGTCGGAAACGGCCTGAACAACACAAGAAACACAAAAGTTTTAGACTGGGTCTTTCCGATGAAACTGCATTACTGTAGTTACACACTGAGGAGTTGGTTAACATGCGATTTCAAGATGGGAAGAACATTAGGCTCTTGAAACTCAAGTTTTTCTCTGTATATGCCACTGCTATTATGGAGGTGATTCCCCTACATAATGAGATATCACTGTGCTATGGGGAAAGTGAATAGTTTTTAGATTTAAATATACCTAAATGTATAGATTCAAATATGTCTATGGTTTTTATGTGTTAACCATTAAAAACTGTACACATAGGTGAATCTCTATGCTAATGTGTAATAAACTAAGTGTCGAAGAGTGAAGCCAGCTCTATCAACATCAAGCGACCTGAGTGCTCTTCCATTGCTGTATGTGGTGGATATCCCCTTCATCACCTCCATCATCCCCATCTATACTGCCACCTGAGAGAGTGGAAATGAAACCTTATGTAGAGCCATAAGATATAAATAGTAATCAAAGTCTGATTTTTATGCAAGTATAGATACAGCCAGAAGGTAACCAGCCATTGCTCCCTAACTTCCTTACTGGTGTAACTGGTTACTGCTTAATGGCACTGTCCTCCCTGACAGGTGCAAGATTTGTGACTCCCCCACTACTTCTCTAGGTAACTTTGTCATTGTAAAGCCTAAGGACTTGTGCTTCTCTAGATAACGTTGCTATTGTAAAGCCTAAGACTGCTCTTTGAAGTATTTTTCAGACTCTGCATTCTGGGGGGACCCACTGACACCAACCAGACCCATGGATAAGTGTGGGAACAGATCCAACAGCCTTGAGACTGCCATGCAGGAAATCTCCCAACTGAGAAGATAACCTCTGCTTCCCAGTCCTATGAGTTCATCCCCCACCAATCTACAGACCCAATTTCCTAGGCTTTTGCCCCCCAAACTATCTTTAAAAACCCTTCCTCCCAAATTATTGGGAAGCCACATTTGAGAAATTCCTCCTACCCCCTCGCATGGCGCCTGCGATATTAAATTCTTTCTCTGCTGTAACCCCTGATGTCCCAGTGTATTGGCTTCCTCTTGAGCAGCAGGCAATGAACCTGGTTGGGCTGCAACAGAAAGATCATGATATATGGAGTCAGAAGACCTGGATCCAAATCCCAGGCCAAACACTCACTGGAAGTTTGACCTTGGTGCAAATTAATAAATACATAGTGCTCAGCCCTGTGCGAGTAGGGTAAACAGACAGAGTAAACAGACAGTTTTTTCATCTAGGGGAATCATACCTGTCTTATGTATCTTTCACATCTGTTGTGAGCATCAAAGCAAAGTTGTAAAACAACCATGCTATGTAAATATCAGTTGTTAAAATAAGCAAGACTTAGGAAGGGAATATACTGTTTGCAATCTTTTAAGAGAAGATAGTCATTAATGTGAAAACTCTTTGGCCCTTCAAAACAAACCAGCTCCTCAACTTGTAAGCCTTCCTGGATGATCTGGCCTCAGATCATTTAGGTGCTATGCAAATATAATATTGACTTAATTAGCATATAGAAGAGACCTAATGTAGCAAGGGCTAATTTGGAAACACATTGTCAGTTTGAAAAAAATGGTGAAAATATTTTTGGTATCTCAAGATAATAAAGTCATGATAATAAAACAAAAATTATTTTGTTTTTATTGCATGGCCTTCTTTCAACCCCAGCGATAGCATGGGGGACTGCATAACTCAGCACTGGCCAAGGACCACATGGGTGGACAAGGATGCTGTCTGTGGTGTAGTTCGGACCATCACGGCAATACTACTGACTCTCATGAGCATATCCTTAGGCCCACCTGTTTCTTTCATCTGAAAGGAGAAGCTACTGACTAATCATCCTTCTACTGCAAAAAAAATGTGATGGATTTCTCACAGAGGATGGCGATATTTTTTAAAGACTTACAGGAACTCTTGGGTTCTGGATGTTTCAGAATAATTCTGATTACATTTCCCCCCTAAGTTAAGCTGTAGTTGGAACTAAATCTCTTTTGTGAGCTAGAGGGTATAATTGACTCATAATTCAGCCTTTATGGTTGCCTGACATCCATCCATAGCAGGTTTTTATATTTAGAGTAAGATAAAACCTATCACTTTAATTGGTTAAGTCAATTCGGAGAACACAATAGCCTAAAGCGTTGGATGAGTGTTTTCTTTTATTTTTGCCTTTGGGTGGATTCAACAATGGACTAATTGATTCTCATTCCCCAAGTTTAAACCTTTCGTATTGACTTTGAATGAGACATAATTTTTCATTCTATCTTTTGAACAGCCAGCTAGTTTTATTATTGCTTGTTTTACATATGACTTTCTCAGCTTTCTTGACTCAAAAGTGTTAAGTATTAGAAATAAGAGTGAGCAGGGATCGCAGGACCGGGGGCCAACTCCAAGTTCCTCTATAATCCACGTGTCAATTTCATCTGTAAAATGTTTACTTCATAGATCAGCTCAAACACTACTCAAATATTGGTAAGTGTTATTATTCTCCCCAAATAAAGAATTGATCAAAGAACTTGTATCTCTGTGCTGCTTGGAAGAG